ATTTTCTCCACTTAAAAAAGCATCAAACACAACAAGTATACAGGCATAAAAAGGTCTGTTAGGAGACCTCTAATAGTCATCCATCTACATACATTTTATGAATGTAGACGAATGAAAATTTTTTTGTGGGAAACTGGGTAAGATCCGAATGGATTCACATGTTAACCAAGGTGGTGCCCAGGGCGGCTGTCCTGGTACCTGTCCTTGGCAACAACACGTGAGTCCAGCTGCATGCCCAGTACAGCTCACACAATAAGCTGGGAGAACCCAATGTCCTGCCCCGCTAATCTCATTTAGCATCCAAGATACACGTGCATGACCACATATACAGGTTATATACACAAAAATTGAAGGAGTTGCAAAGATTTTCTAAAATTTTGAATGCACCCAAATTGATTGTTATTTATAGACTGAGATTTTAATATAAGTCACCAAAACAAGATATTTGTTTCATCACATACTGAGCTAAACTATAGATCAGTTTCATTTATATTGCTAGTTTTAACTGATTATTTATAAGGCATGAAAAAATTGGAGAATATGGGCCATGATCCACGTTCAACATAAGCCAAGTTAAAAAAAAAAAAACATTATTAGCTGCCTATTTATTATACCTATTCATACTCATTTAACAAGCAAACAAACAAACAAAACAAAAAACAATAATACTCAGCTTTGTAGAGAAGGATAGGAAGCCCTTTTACACAGAATTTTAAGGCAACATTCTCTTCAGTTCAAACACAACAAAATAATAATAATTGGAGAGAAATTTAGCAATATTGAACATGAATCATGCACCAAACTGGGGAAATGCAAAAAGCAGCATAAATAAACAATCAATAAGGGTGCAGAAGTTTATATTTTTATGATAAAATGTTCATTTTTATAAAATGTGTAACTCACTGACTGAACGTGAGAATAAAAGCTGCCAGATGGTTGATAAGAAAAAAATTCTTCCAGCATCCCTGAAAGTATCACTGTGTTTAAATTATGTATTTGCTGACTTTTTTGTATTAATCCACGAATACTAACTTCTTAATGCGTCCAGAAATAACTTTCGATAGGAGTGTACCTTCCAAAGTGATCATTTTTTTTAACCAAAAAAAAAGAGTTTATTTTCTATCGCTTTCATCTGAAGAGGTGCCTCGATGGCTTGTAGCGCAGCGTGAGCTGGCGGGAGCTGTAGCCGGACAAACCCACACCCATCAGACCCATCAGGAGGGCCAAGCGGGGCACGGTAGAACTCTCCTGGCTCTGCAGCATTGTCTGGGCTGCTTGGGTCTGAAAAAGAGAGTAGTGGTTGTTACAATGCATGCAGCCTTATTATCCAAACAAAATCCTTATAAGAGGCTGACGGAGGGATCTCCACAGTGATGTGTCTCCCAGAATAGAAGAGGTGACCAATAAAGACCTGTTCAATCTCAGCAATGGTCTTTCCAAGAGGAAAAAGCTGAACTAAAGTCTCTATATTTTGCTTACTAACATTGGTTATATTGAACTTGAAGACATAGCAGGTCCATGACGTCTACAAGGGTCAGGACTACAAAATGTCAGACATACAGTATGGTTTTCTGTGAAAAAAATTGCTTTTAAAGCTAAATCAAACCTTTTTATGTCTTTCAGCTCATAAAAATATGGCACTTTATTTTGCACACTCTTTTTACTTCTTTTATAACCAGTACTGCAGTTTGCCCCACTCTATATAAGACTTTTTATTAGCTTCACAACACAAGCTTTGCAACACAGATAATGGGCTGTCTCCTTTTTAAAAAAAAAAAACATACTCTGAAGCTCTAAATCCAGCTGCATGTGTCTGAAATATCTACCAGGACACAAGGGTTTACTGCAACTGCTCAGGAGATCCAATTAGTTAAATCCATTTATAGAGACACACTGCTGCGGTTCTCTATTTTAAATCCTACCATGACCATGACTAATATGAGCTGTTTGAATAGTAGGGTTATCATTTAAAAGAACTCCTCTATCTAATTATATAACTTACCAATGTTCAGTTTTTGGGGGATTTAATTCTGATTTTAAATATGAATGTGGTCTATAAAAACAGCAGCAATAAAATAATCTACAAATTAATTTTAAAAATGCAATCCACATTATTTTCACAGTATCCAAATATGTGTAACTGCTGTACACTATGTAGTCATAAGAGGGTTTTTTTTTTTTTTGCTTTCCAGATTTTACAGTTAATAAGATCTATCCACACTGGGATATTATCTGAAAGCATCACACAAACCTGCAGGTATCTGATATATCCAGGGGTCAATCGAGGGATGCGGAAAAACATCCCTGCTCCTTTCAGTGCTTTACAGTTGATGTCTGAAAAGTCTTCCTCGGGTTGCCCTCAGGAGCTGCTGCCGGGCAACTGTATCTAACTGCGTCTCTGTGTGTAGGTACCAGCAGCTCTCCCCGGTGTCTACAGGCACAAGCTCCTCAATCAGATGACCTGCTCCAGGGAAAACCAGTATATAAAGCCCTGGCATCATTACCAATGTGTGAGCTGGTAATTTTGTGTGTGTGCATGTGAGGCGTGTGTGCATCTGTGTCACTGATGGATTAGCAGATCTACTGCCAACATGGTGGGTTAATACACCCTGGATAGACACTCCTAATCTATTGTCCACAAATTAGGCCTGCCAGTTAGCACCATTACAGAGTTTTAAAAAAAAGAAAAAAAAAACTTTTTTATATAGGAAAATGGAAACATTTTTTTTTCTATGTAATGATCATTATAAAGTAAAAATGACCTGCAGTCGTTTGTACCTGATCCTGCTCAGTTTAAGGAAAACTGTCATGATCGTGACGGATGGGCCCAGTATTTAAGGTCAAAGCATTTATTAACACAAAAACACAACAGAACTGAAGCACGGAGCTCGGACCGCAGTGGCTGCAGGGTGGGAGGCTGTCAACGCCCGATCACTGACACTCTGGAGGGAGAAACACAGGTAAGTGACCTGATCATCTGACAGGAGACGATTATCTGATTGAGTCACTTACCTGGTTTAACATTTCAGCACATCCTCTATAAGGAAGGCAGGATCTAGCCGATGGACTGTGGTGCAGAGCTGTCCAAAGTGTCTCTGACACAGGAACATTTCTGGAATCTAGAGGTCCCCAGCCCGGTCAGGGGTTCCGCTCCACACAGGAACAGAACGATCCAGGGTTCCAGGAATCCACAGAACATGAAGGCAGGTTCAGAGTTGCATGAGTCAAGCAACCAGCTCAGACAAAAACGCACAGATGCAGACAGGCAGGCTCAGTGGTTGAGGGACAGAGACAAGACATGGTACCAGGATTACTGCAGAACTTTAAACTGGTCTCTACCTAGGAGCCAGGCTTACGGACTTAAAGCTGTAGTCCGACCTGGGAGCCAGGACACGATCAGGAGACAAGACAAACACTAAAAACCTCTCAACCCACTGGCCGCTGGGAACGGGAACATGAACCATAGAGTAACTTAAAGTAACAAAACAAACAAACGGACATCAAACAATGATCTGGCCCGACAGCTGGGCTGAACCGCATGTATTGCAGAGGGAGCAGGTGAAATAGATGAATGATAATTAGAGAGCGGTGAGGGAATGGCAGGTGAATGATGCAAGTAATTAAGGTCAGATATCAGGGTAGATCATGACAAAAACACTGAGTAGCCTCCAGCAGCCTGTATAAAAAGCGGGGTCAATATTAAATATTAGTTGAGTTAGATTTTTATATTCAAACTGAAATACAATCATCGAAGGACATCCATAAATCTTGATAATTTTCACAAGCAACCGGAAGCAGCCAATACAACTAGCAGCAAATACATGTATTTTATTATCATTACAGTACATGTATACATGAATGAAAAATTTGTTATCAGGGCAAGTATAAAAATAATCTTTCCGTTCAGACTTAGAATTAGACTTTTATTGAAATTTTGTTTACATGTAGTGTATACAGAATGAAATTCTTTTTGTACAGCTTTCAGACAGTAAATGAGAAGCAGCTTAGCAGTGAAATGAACATTTCCATTTCATAAAGAGCAGCAGTGATCAAATATAAATAGTGTTGGAGAAAAAACATGATGTAAAACGAATTGATATGGAAGTTCTGAGCATTTCAAAAATATATGACATATATGACAAACATATATGGTGCAAATATGCAGCATTTTGGTGTTATCAGTGTGATAAAATGCAGTGTGAATTCTGGCCCAAGTGCTGAAAAACACATGTTAAAGTGCCCTCTAAGGAGCCAAACCATGTATTAAAGGATACTACAGTGGTCAGGATGCGCTATATGTATCCTTTTTTTCTCTCCGCCCCTGCTGTTCAAAAAGTCTATGCACGCCACTGTCCCAATGTGACTACTTTTTTCATGCTTACATAGATACAGCTAACTTTTTCAGTATGACTTTTTTTGCATTGAAAAGTTAATGTGTAATTAATCCTTTCCGGGTTAGGAAAATTTACATTTATGAACATTTTACAGTTAGATTAAAACTGTAAATGCTTATGTTCACTGCATCTATGTAGCTGTTTTAAAGATTGCATCAATTTTTTATTTATTTTTTTTTCCAGTATCAGTGTTATTAACACCCATACACACACACATTTGACCTCAGTTCAATTTTTCTTACATTAAGACATTTTAAGTATGAATATTTATTCATAATGGAAATATAACTATATCATGAAAGAATAATATTAACCCCCTGTGAATATCTTACAGAGTCATACCAGAAATAACCGCTGTACTTGCTGTTTGTAGGACATCTAAGGAAAAACAAAATAAATGTTCTAATGATTTAAAAGAGTATTAAAAATATTAAGAATTATATTATTATATTAAGCAGTTCATATGTCAGTATTAGTAGCCCTTCCTATGGCGCGGTAGCTCTCAGCCTAAAGTAAGTGGTTGACCCCTGGTTCAAAGCATAACGTCACTTTTTACAAAACAACTCAAACTCCCATGTTGCAGTTGGGGCGCCTTCCGGAAGTAACGTCATCTGTTTGCGTCCGTCCAAGGAAAAAGGACGCTGAGCGGGCTAATTCTTTAGAGAACTGCTTTTTTGGCACATTTTTCCATGCAAAATAAAAACTCTTACTCGAACATTTTGAAACATTTTGAGACAGTAAGTCCCAGTCGATGTTGTTTCCCCACAGAAGAGTGAAGCTCTCCCCCCCTCCGAGCTGGTAAAACAAAGAATAGTTGGCTAACATTGCACGCTAACAGCTAATGCTGCGTAGTTTCATTTCTTTGAAAACACAAAATGAAGTAGCCTGTTAAATCTATCAGTGCTTCTTGGTGTTTTCTACAAAAACATTGCAGACTGACATGGGCCTGTACTCAATACATTTACCACATAATCGATAGGTAATTGTTTGTGTTTGAAATTGTTGTGTTCTCAATGCGTGAAGTTCTTGGTGGGGATACTGGAGAATTTAAGGTCGAAAGTCGAGTTAATTCTTGGACTGCATTATAATAACACAAACAGCATTTAAAAAGATGGATATAATAATTAACTATTCAATTATTATAGTTCTGTATTAAGTTGCATTGCATAAATATGCAAGTAATGACAAAGGGTAAATATGATATGCTTTTTCAAAATTGCATTTATTTATTTAAGTGATTTGTCAAAGATGTCTGGTAATGAATCCTAAAATATGTGCTTACTTTAGTGATATCAGGAATTTAAATAGTATTAATGAAATCTGTGTTGTCTTTGATCTTCTGTCGGTGGGATTTTAAATGTAATGCAAAATTACATTATTTGAACTATGTATTTATGTTCTTCAAAATCATAACAAAAGTTAGATGCGAGCATCTTTTTTGTATCTATTATTAAGCTCTAATGGCAAACCCACATGTCTTTGAAAACAACTAATCATTTGCTACGGGTTTGTTTCCTGTATTTTGTACTTTAGATTTTTTTGTTAAGTCTTACCTGTTTTAGTTTTGTTTACAAAATAAAGTGCTGGAATTGCAAGTTGATGATTTAGATTGCAAAACAGCTGTGTCAATCATTTTTCTACAATTTGTCCAACTCTAGATGTAAAATCTGCATCTAAGCCTATCCTTTTGCTTGTTGCTTTTATAGACAAAAATTGGACGGGGGTAATTTCAGTAAAATTAAATCATAAATCTGATTTTTTGTTATATTTGACATGCGAGTTATAGTCATACCCAGTAAAGGCAGGGTTGGGTAATATCAGCGACCAATTGATCAGTGCATCTCCATCGATATAGACTGACTTAGTATTATAAAAGAACTGTCGCTGATTGTAACTATTCCTTTTTACAAACCAACCCCCCTTGCTGCCATGACAGTGCTATAGCAAATCTCCCCTAAACAAGAACATGCATCTATAGTAAGGATGCATTATATTGTCAGCGTTATCGACACTTGCCAATATTAGCCTTAAAACCAAATATCGGACATTGACTATTCCACCATTAAAACACACCGACACAAAAGCGGAAAAGAAAGCAAGGGTTATGCCTGCAGTACCTGCGGGTTGATGATGATGCATGTAAAAAATTTTGGTGGTGTGGATGTTTGTTGAAGTTTCCAAAACAGCTGAACTGTTATTTGCAATGAATGCACAGTACTGGTAGGAGAAAACTATCTGTTAGTAGGTCTAGGGAATACAATTATTGGTATTGATTATTAGCTAGCTAATTTGTATAATGTCAGCTACATTTTTCTGTATCGTGCACCCGTAATTTATAAAACAAATTTATAAGAACAGAACAGCATGCTTATTTTTAAATAATAAAAGTGTTTGATGCTACCTGTGATTCTAGTTCAGCTAGGTATATCGCATTGTGTTTATACAAGCCAAAAGTTTGATTATTTACATTCATTTACACTACCATTAGTCTTGTTTTTAACCAACACTGTGCTTCATTTCAGTTGTAATGAAGAGAAGAGCGGATCCAACATACTCACCTCTGCAGGGGCCAAAGAGGCAGCGCGATGAAAGTAGCTCAGATGAAGAGTCCCTGTCTAGACAGGGTAATATATTCATGTCTACCATTAACTGAAATAAAATGTGTGCTTTAGGTTATGGTTAGCCATTTGAAACATTCACATAAATCCTCTTTTCTTCCTGATTGGATTCACTTTGGGTGTGCTTTTTGAATTAGAAATTTTCTCTGTGCATATTTACAGTTAGCAACATCTAGCATCATATTTTGAGAAATATAATGTAATCTGCATATTTATTTGTTTGTAAGATGCTATTGTTATTTTAATACTGTTTTAAATGAGGTTTCTATGCATGTTTCTCTGGTGTCGTCCTGTCCAGACTCCAGCCAAAATGACTCCCTCAGTGACCAGGAGGATCACAGACCGAGCTTTTCCATGCCGTCCATATCAACATCCTCCTCCTTTGATACCAAAGATGATGACAGCTCCTCTCAGACCGCCTCGAAGTTCTCTATGTACAACAGCGTGTCACAGAAGCTCATGGTAATTAAATAAAAACCTTGTTTTTTTTTAGGAGCTTACACATTGTACTGTTTTGAATTCATAAAGTGTAGCATGCTGTGTTTTAAAATCTCCCCTAACCTTACTCTTTTTCCCACAGGCGAAGATGGGTTTCAGGGAAGGGGAGGGTCTGGGTAAGTTTGGCCAGGGACGCAAAGAGATCGTGGAGGCTTCCACCCAGCGTGGAAGGAGGGGTCTGGGCCTCACGCTGCAGGGTTTCAAAGGAGAGCTGAATGTTGACTGGCGTGATGAACCACAGGTGAGAAAAAAACATTTATCCACCTTTTTTTTCTTTCTTTTATTTTTTCTTTAAAATTGTTTAATTGAAGCAAAGTTGTTTGCTTTTTTTTTCTTCACAGCCCAGTGCTGTTGAGAAAGTTGACTGGTTTCCAGAATGCATGACGGAGATCCCGGATGCAGAGGAGCTGAGGGACTGGTTGATTCTGGGACCGGTAAAATACCAACATGGGCACTTTATCTGAGAGATCTGGATTTATACTTTTCCAAATATTTAAATATATATTTTTTTATCTTTGGGCAGAGAAAACTAAAGATTGAGGATGAAACCGAGTTTTGCACAGAAGATCTTCTGCACACTCTTCTACGATGCAAGGTGAGCTGTAAAAGTATTCTACTTTTATCATGTTCGTGTTATAACAATTAAAAGAAAAAAGCCCAACTAGAGCAAATCTAGTTATAGGCTTTTCAGTTAGTACATTTAAAAGAAAGTTTTAAAATCAGGTTATTTTTACATAAAGCATCTCAATCTCTAACTTTACCAGCTAAATAAATTCAGCTTGCTTCATTCTAATTACAAATCATTGATATTTTTATCTTTCTTGTTTGTTTAAATGTTAAACTTTCTTGCTGGCAGTTTTTTCTTCATACTAATGTGTTTGTTTTTGTATTCAGACGATCTTTGATGACCTGGAGGGTGAGGAGATGAGGAGAGCACGAACACGTTCCAATCCTTACGAGACAATCAGAGGAGGAATCTTTCTCAACAGGTAAAAAACTATATTGAAATACCAGCTTCAATTTAGGATGTTAAAGCATTTTTTTAATTTTTATTTCAGTTGGGTTCACTTTTGTACAGCTCACAATTATTGTCCTAATGTGGGAGTCAGGTATCATGATAAAACAGATTTTTTTAGGAAAACAAAATGTGTTATGAGTTCTTTAAAATAACAAAGCCTGAAAATTAAACAGATATTTTAAATGAATTAAATCCATAGGATTCTCCACTTTTGAAGTTCACAGGAGCCACCCAGCTGTTTGCACCTTCACTTGACTCTAACCTCTGACCTGTTCAAGCTGAAACCATTATCCAAATGCCTCAAAAGTTAAAACAACATTTAATAACTTAATGACCTGATTAATTAAATCATTTTGCTACTATTACATTTTAAATGGGTCGAAAGTAAAAATAAAAAAGACGCAAATACTTTCTGACACCCTAACATTGAAAATTTATAGAAAACTTTGTCATCTTTGCACTTTTATAATTTATCTCTACTGCTCTGTTTCAATTATTTAAATTATGCTATATTATGCTTTAAATTATGCTATATGTTGTCTGTATATAGAGCAGCCATGAAAATGGCCAACATCGATCACTGCTTTGACTACATGTTTACTAATCCAAAGGATTCTCAAGGGGTGAGTGTGTTTGCTCCAATACAGCACCTCTGATGGATGACAGAGCGCAGGTCCATATAATCATCTGCTTCAATGAAAATGATGCTTTTATCATATAGAAATCGTTGGTGAAGGACCGTGAGGGCGAGCCTCTGTATTTCGGCGACGTCTGTGCGGGGCCTGGTGGCTTCTCAGAGTATATTTTGTGGAGGAAACGCTGGCACGCAAAGGGCTTTGGGATGACGCTGAGAGGGCCGTGCGATTTCAAACTGGAGGATTTCTATGCCGCGCCGAGCGAGTTGTTTGAACCCTATTACGGTGTGTTGATGAAACTCACCTCTCAGAGGGGAAAAGCTGATATTTCAGATTATAAATGATTGAGTGGATGTTTGTCTGTGTGTCTCAGGTGAGGGCGGAGTGGACGGGGATGGTGACATCACTCGGCCTGAAAATCTTAATGCATTTCGTAATTTTGTCATGGAGAACACAGACAGAAGAGGGCTGCATTTCCTCATGGCAGATGGGGTAAGATGAATTCTGAACAATATCTTCCTACTTTTACTTAAAATAATTAGAAAAATAATGATAAGCCTGGAGAACTCGGTCTAGTTGGCTGAGATCTGTGTTGATGGCATTTGTTTTTTTTGCAGGGTTTCTCTGTGGAGGGTCAGGAGAACATCCAGGAGATCCTCACCAAACAGCTGCTGCTCTGTCAGTTCCTCACTGCCCTCTCCACTCTCAGGACAGGTATGAGTGGGTGTGTTTGTCAATGTTTATAAAGAAACTCAGTGAATCGGCACACATCTTCACCTTAACTTATTTTTCGTTTTTTTCCTCCTAGGTGGCCATTTTGTCTGTAAAACGTTTGACCTCTTCACTCCTTTCAGCGTGGGCTTGGTCTACCTCCTCTACCTCTGCTTTGACAGGATCTCCCTCTTCAAACCTGTAACCAGCAGGCCTGCAAACTCTGAGAGGTGGGCTCCGTGAATGTGAATGCAATAGAAAATTATCAAGTTTGTTTTTAAAGCATCATTCGGAATGTTTTAAAGGAAAAGAAATGGTAAAGTAAAATTAAGTTAATCCATAAAGACAGTATTCTAATTAAATTAAAGATATAAACACAAAAAAATAGCTGAAACAAATACAAGAAAATACGTTTGATCTTTTCGGGAGTTCTGCTGTGAATAATACCAGGTTTTTTCCTGATTTAAAATCTGTACATCTCAGATTTTAATGTAGTTGGTTTCAGAGATCAGGGGCCTGTTTTAGGATTCAGGTTTAGTGGAAACTCTTAAGTTTTCTAAACCTGAAATCAGATCATTTCAGATTTTAAGAAGCTGATAAATGTCAGAATGACCACTTAAAATGTGTAAACATTTATAGGTATATAAAACTTAATTCTTACTGGTACAATTTAGTTTTTTGTACTTTTCTAAATTCAGTTTCTGTTTCAAAAATATAATTTAGAATATCATTGGTTTTGACCAGTAAGAATCGTATTTAAGTGATCTACAAATGGAACAACAGAGGGGATAGTGGTTTTAATAAATGTCAAAATGGCCTGCTATAACAGACTTCATATAAAGGTGTACCCTAACTGGAGTAGTAATCTTCTCCTACGCCATCCCCCTTTCTGTATCTCTGCCATTTAAACACATTCTTCAATGTTTCTTTCATTCTGCATTTAAATCTCTAGTTCCAGTGGGAAATAGGCACTTCCTGTTGCCTGTTGTCATGGGGACTCGTCGAATCGGACTTAACCGATAAAGGCTTTTCATACTTGTTACGCACGTCTTCAACTCTCAGTGAACCTACTCAGAGTTAATCAACTCTCAACAGCCTTTATGAAACTGAAACAGATCAATTCAGAGTTTGTTAAACTTGCTTTGTGAAACGGTTCTCAGTGCTCTTATTCAGTTTGAGTTCTAAAAATTCTGAATAAACAAATGATTAATGACCACCTAGATGAGACTTATTTAGGCTTTAAAGCCTTTTAATGTGTAAAGAGTCCAATAATGAGATTTAAGGGAGAAGTTCGGTTTTTAACACTTTAAGCCCATTTTCTGTAGTGTCCAGGATGAAATCGAATGATCGACACCAAAAGTTTGACAATTGGTCCTGTCTCTGCTTTTTGGCTCATTTAGAATCAACCCCTGGCTGCTTCAGAATGGCTTTCATAGAGCATGTCCGATAATGTCCTTAAAACAACCTTAAACGTTCTTTTTTTAAA